AAGGGTAGGCACCTAACAGCGGTGAAGCAGGCCGGGTTAGGCGGCGTACTGCGGCAGAATAGTGGGTCCAACGGAGCCGGATCTCGGTAACTGCTCCGGCGAAGCCGGAGATATCAATCCGGGCTCTAGCCCGTGACACTACGACATCCAACAAGAGAAGAACTACATTGCGTCGTACAGAATCACAAGTCCCAGCACGCAAGACTATTTATACCACCACAGACACCACGCCACACCAAGCTCCACCCAGCAACGATCTCCCATAAAAGCCATCGCCAGGCCATTTCCTTCCCGCAAGGCAATGAGTCCATGATTCTGAGTTCTTTCCCGAAACTTTTACTCAGCCTTTGCTGTTTCTTGACTCAGATGATCTAGTGTATAGATACGGTCACGGCGCTTTCGATCCCCCGCGATCGCTCCCCCGTCGTCGTCCACCGTCTCCGACGTAACAAACTCCCAGCGTATTCCTACACGGCCGAGAACATTGACAAAATGACAAAGCGGGGAAGAGTTGGGCTCTCACTCAGATTACATCGGAAGTTTGCTTCTGACTGGAGAGCAGCAGCTCGTACCCCCATCTGTGTTGGCGTTCTCGTCGCTGCCACTGTTCCGTGTAGAGCCATGTCCCGTGCTAGGAACATTTATGTCACAACAGCAGCCAATCAATCCGATCACGTCATCACAAGAATGGGACAACCAAGTTCAATCTAGTTTTCTTTCTTCATTCATCTAGTATCTTATCGAGTATGCAGTCTACCGACAGCATACACATAATTCTCATAGGAGACGGGGCGTGGTCGCGATCCGGCCACCAAGCTTCGGCCGTAGCCGGACCACACGATAGCTCCCACGCCGGCCATCAATGCTTTCATATATATATCCCGAGTCCTCCTCTTGATATTGCGTACGTTTGATAGATCCATGAACTCCCAAACAAAACACCAGTGGCCGATGTCAAACCAATCGGCAGATGCAAAATGTTCGCGTCCCTAGCCTGTCCACAAATCCGTATTTTCGCAATCCCGATTCCCTAACCAATCCAAGGCACTTTTATGTTGCCAACTCTCCTCAAGTGGCTGCGGTATCGACCCGCGCCCCATCGCAAGGATGGCCGAAATGTGTAGTAAAAATAAAAGGTCTTAGGAGAAGAAGCCAGCGCTTGACATAGGAAATTAATAGCATGTGACAATCTGCGTCAACTAAATGCTTATAGATGGAGCCAGTAATATGTGCACTAGATCAACGAAGAGTATTGAAGTCCATCTCAGCGGGCATGCCAGTCATACCTGGCATATCCGAGTTGGCTCGTTGAAGCGCGTGGAAAGTTTCGCCGACAGCCCGCGGCAACGGCTGTTGTGGTATGGCGTAACTGTTGGCCCGCTGGGGTTGCTGACGAGATATGGAGTTCATCAGGTTGTTCCCACCAGGACCCATTGGATGGGATGTCGGTATTGACGGCGCGTTCATCTGCTGCTGTCCCTGGAACGACGGTGGACTGATGCTGCCCATGTTCTGGCCTTGCTGCATGTTGTGGTTGTGATGCTGGTTCATGTTGGGCTGCATCTGTTGTTGATTCATGCCTTGGTTCTGCAACATGTGATGCGACTGATGTTGTTGATGTTGGTTCGAACCACCGATCGACGATCCATTTTGTCCCATCGGACTCATGACCATATCGGGCATCTGCGCGCATCCATAATCGTTCATCCCGTTGTGTGGGTACTCCATGGGTGGAGACATGATGGCTGGCGAGCTCGCGAAAGGCGAGTTCATGTCTGCAGTCGTGGCAGGCACGGAAACGGACGGGGCTCCAGTGGAGACGTTGGCGTCGCTTACGTTGCTGTTCATGTCCGACATGCCATACTTTTTGTCATAGTCGGCAACGGAAAACTTCCGGTCGTAGTCGGTGTCCATCTGCATTTGCATCTGGGGAGGCTGCGCCATGCCAGCGTTTCCGAAGCCGTCAAAAATGTCAATAGCGCCCAGGTTGGCGTTCTCGGGAGCGTTCTGCAGCATGGGGTTGGTCAGGCGAGGCATGATGTCGGCGACCTTGTTGAGAAGCAGGGGCAGGAAGCGGAAATCGCTGTGGCGGAGGACGGCAACAATGTTGAGCGTCTGGTTGAGTTGCTCGCGGGGACCGACAGTGAAGGGGTCCCGGGCGGCGGGTTGCACTGCGAGGAAGTCGGTCATGTTGCAAGTGATTTGGAAGAGCTTTTCGATCTGCATCTTAGTCAGCTCACTGCGATTCATTCAGCGAAGTTTGGTTCTTACCAGTCCGGAACCCATGAGCTCCATGCCCTGTCCAGGGAAGTGAGATGCGAGGTTCATCAACATTTCGCGTGACAAGTCGACGGGGTATTGGAAGTTGTTCATGCTCTCCTCGTTCTGAGAGTTCATGCTGCCGTGGGTCAGCTGCCAGACGGTGGTCTTCAGCCACTGCTGGTTCGTGCGCAAGTCGGACAACTGTCCATCCTGGCAGAGGTATGTCGGCAGGACCTCGTTCAACTGCTTCTGCAGGTTAGAAACGTAGAGGTTGCTTCGGGCCTTGTTCCAGACGGCGGTGAAGGCATCGTCGAAGGGGTGGAACAGGTTCACCAGCATAATGAAGCTGTTGAGCTGGTGGCTGAGTGGGTCGCTCGGGTCATCGGCGGAGTTAGGCGGTTGAATGGTGGCTTGAAGTGTCAAAGGTCTCTGGTGCTGAATAGCGTGGGCCCTGAATGAAGATCGCCCGTTAGTGATGAAACATGGCGTTGGAATAAGAAAAATGCTCATTACCTTTCCATAACGTAGAAGAGCCAGTACAGGCGTCTTCTCCGAGAAGACTCGGCGTTGTCCCACTGGGGACTGCGGTAGGTCTCCTCCTTGGTCATGCCGCTCATGTGCATCATGGTGGAAGCCTCGCGGAGATAGTACCAGGCCTTGTTGTGCATCTCCATGCCGTGGTAGCAACCGTAGATGAAGAAGTTTGTGGCGAGTGTGTTGAATGTCGGGCCTTCCGAGGGGCCGGTGAGGTAATCGTAGCCCTTGCGAACCTGCAGCGTCTCCTCCAAAAGCAACTGGGTGGCGACGATGGCGGCACCAGGCATAACGTCGAGGTTGAAGGGGTCGCCGGCGGGCATGGACATTCCGGGCTGGAGCATCATGAAAGCGCACAGAGAGGTCAGCAGGCAGTAGGTGTCGGGGTCGCGCTCCATGTAGGGGAGTTGCTGTTCGATCTTGTGGCGGTCGAGGATAGGCATCTTCTCGTAGAGGTTGGCAAAGTAGAAGTCGATGCATTCCTTGACGAGCTCGCTGGAGAGCAGACCGGGCGTCGGAGCGAGGCTGACGGGTCCTGGAGGGCCTGACATGCCGTTCATGCGGTTCTGGACCTTTGCCGACAAACTCGTCTGTCGCTGTGTTTCCCTCAGCTCGCTAATGACCTTTGCGCGGGAGCCCTTGGGGCCCTTCTTCTGAGGGATGGCATTGTAGGTGCAGGACAGCTGGGCAGTGTGGCAATTACGGCACGGGTTGACGCCGTCGCATTTGACCTTGCGACGATGGCAGGCGTCACAGGCCCGCTTGACGGCCTGTGTCATGTTGGCGACGTGCGGTGAAGACGTGGTTGCGGTATTGCTGGTGTCGGGGTCCCGTCGTGGGCGTCGTCGGGTGTCGTCGTCTCGCGGGTTAGGGATGGGTCTGCTGCAATTACTCTGCACGGCTGTGGCTGAAAGCGGCGGGTGATGGCATCGACAGCGAGATTTCCAGCGGGCGCAAGAGACGATTGAGTTTTGCGGGGAAAGGAGACTGATAAGGGAAGTGGTAGGCGTGGGAAGGGGGAGTCGTGGAGGAGTTTGTGAGGATGGATCGCAGTATTCGGCCCTTTCTGTATGCACACGCTGGGAGCGAAACGCGGGGGATGGTGCCAAAATCCGGGGCTGCAACGCCCGTTACAACCCTTTCCAGTCGTCTGTGCAGAAGGATAGCAAGCGTTAATCGAGTGCCGGACGTCGACGGTGGCTGTTTCGTCTGGAGTTTGTCGCTTTTGCCTCGAGAGAAAAACACAACTGGCGATGTTGAAGGAGAGACTGGGAGTGGCTTCTCGGTGAGGGTCGGTAGGTTGGTGAGGAAGAGGAGTTCGGGTGCGGGTGGGCGAGGGAGGATGGATGTATGGAACCGCAGTGGGCTGAGGGAAGTCACATACTATGTAAGGTAGAAGAGGGAAAGTGGAAGAGGAAAAGAGGACAGGCACGGCACGGGCTGGAAGGAAGTTGGTGTGAGTGCGAGCTACGCTTAGGTGGTCAACGAGTGGAGAATAAGGGAAAGAGCGGCGCGCGAGAGTCTGAAGATGAACAAGGGTGGTGGGCACTCGCACCTGCACTTCGGTTGTTGCTAAGAAAATGGGCATCGAATCGACGGGAAGGAGAGGACGAGAGGCCAGAGGAGAGGACTTTCCTTCCAGTGCCCGAGGTGACGGGAACAGGTACCTCTGCGGTGTACGGATACTTGGGGGCGCTCCTAGTGTGTTTGGTGGGCTTGGCCTGGGCTGCTAGGCCTCTTGCAGCAAGACGCTAGCCCGACTGAGAGGCGCGGCTTGGGGAGACGACGGCCTCTGGACTGGTCACTGCCCCCGGGGGAGGAGACGAGCACTGGGCAGAGAAAAAGGCGCTAGCAAGGAGACAGGTCACAGCCTTGAGGAGATGAAAAAAATTGTCAGACACACTGTGGGGAACACGGTGGGCATTGCCTAGTACCTGAGGGAGTTGGGGTGACAGCCCACCTTCTCCTCGGGTGCTTCCCCACAGTGAGGCGTCATTTTCACCAGACCAACGGCACTGTGCGCAGGGGGCGCCTTCCTCGCTGTGTTCTGTCTGTTCGTCCCTTGTTGTCTGCATTGTATCCGGTACGTATCTTTTACCTGCTGCTGTCAACACTCCATCGCCCATTGTGTCTCTTCTCCATTGTGAAAATGGTGCAAATTTCCACGGTCAATGCAGAGGAGCCAAGGGGTCCCTGATATTTCTGAAGAATAACTGGAAACAGCCCCGAACGCCAGCAGGTCCTCTTCTCTATTGGTGTTGAGCTCGGCTGCACGGAACTGCTGGAGATGAGGGCAAGAGACCGTCATGGCCAAGAGGCAGAGAGGGATATTTGGCAGGAGCAGCAACACAGGGCGATGCGCGGGAGACGCCGCCTGCAACGTCGTACGAAGGCTGGAGCTGCTGCCTGTACATGGCATTTCGTAACGAGCAGGCCAATGAGAGGCGTCACCCTCCAAGTATTCGTACCTCAAGGAACGCCAAACCGAGGCAAGACCAAGGCCAGGTGCTACTTTGTACCTTCCATTGGGAGTCCACCTAAGCGACAGACAGTCAGCGACTGCGCCTACGAATGCCTCCAATGTACCTCTCGCCCTTCCAGCCGCAGGAGAGTACATGCTACCAGACTGCTGTCCAGACTCACGTCCAGGCCGTTGGAGTGCTGAGCCGTCCGCTGACCTGCTCCTCCAGCTGCTGCATGCCAGTCGCCTCTTCTCTCGCAGTACCCGACGGCAACGGCAGCCGCCGTCCTTTTCTCGACGTTTCAGTCGCAACTTGACCGAGGTCAGGATTTCACAGAATACTCGCCTCACTTTCGACCTCCTTCTGCGGTGCTTGTTCAGGACGCATCTTTCTCGGTATGCGCAAGCCGCGGAACGACAATGACGCTCACTGGGCAAGCCACATCACCTCAGCTGCTGGTCTCGTGATGCCCCTCCGCCATTCCCGTACTCGACCCTCATCACCACCAATTTGCCCACCGGCACTCGTTACGAACAACGACGACGCCAGCAGAACACGAGCCAAACCGCCTGCGAGCACCCCAAGCCCGCCACGCCGTCCCTTTGTTTTCACTGGGTCCTATGGGCCATGGCGCGCTGCCGCCCATTGTCTGATCTGATCTGATCTGGCCCTGCTGGAGCCCCTAGCCAACTTCCAGCCTTTTGTCCCGTCCCAACAAGCCGGCATCGCCTGCGTTTTGCCCATAATTGCACCAGTCCACTCAAATCTCCTGCCCGTTGCCAACTGTCTCGCAGCTCCTCGACATTTCGAAATTTGAGGCACACGAAACCGCCTGTGCGAGGGACATCCCTCGCCGCACCTCGACAGCCACGCCAGCAGCCACAAACAGACGCACTGATGCGCCCATGGGGATGCTGGACGCAGGGACACCGTTGACCCGGGATGCGATGTCTTGCCCTGCCTCCGTATTGCCGGTCCGTGGGCATTGCTTGCAATTGCTTATTGCTGTCTCTGTCAATATGGGGGACGCGGCATTCCAGGTTTCTCGAAAAAGCCTCTCAACACCGGCTGTCTCGACTCTCGATGGGGCTCGGGTCAATGCCGACCAATCTTCGACGCCACTACCGTCCAGTAGTTCAGCAGAGCATGAACTCTGTTCTGTTGGCCTCGACGAGATGCTGATCGTCCGACACTTGGGATGGCTGAAGGCGCCGTCCAACACTACAGCCTGCAGCGTCTGTTCCCACTGACTGAGCACTTGGGCTCCTCTAACCCAACGACCAGCCCTCAAAAGTTCTCACCGGCTCCTGTGTTCTGACGGGGCTGGAATCGGTCTATGATGGCCATGCAGCAAGCATGCTTCGATAACCCACAACTTGGGCATCGATCGAGATGGGGTTCCTTTGCTCGCCGTAGCAGACAATTCCCAGCGCTTCACGCTCGGTAATGATGGCTTCCGCAATCCTGTCGGCACACTGTCCACACGCAAACACGGCTTGGTCTTGGCAATCTGGCAACTCGCAAGCAATCTCACAAGTCACACTTACCCTCCATCAATGACCCCTGGGCCTGTCATCCCCCAGATCTCCCTCAAGCGACACAGCAGGGAACCTTCCAAATTGTCTTCCACCGTGCTTCTATTCGCTCCAGTCCGCCTATCAAACAACGTCTTGCCCTCGACACCCTCCTTGGTCGACCCAGCTCGCCGTTTGCAGCCTGTCACGGCGTCAACTGCCATGCAGGTCGTCTACTTCTGCCCAGCAAATGTTTGCCAATCCAACTAGAGGCATTTCTAAGGTCGTCTTTTGCCAGATACAGACCATGACGACCACATCTCACCTTCATTGTCTCTGGCGCCGGCCCTGACATCCAATTCAGGACTCATTTTGATCATGACAAAAAAGTCAGACATCAGGGCAACCACCCCGTCGTGGCGGAGGCCAAACCAACGCTACAGCTACACGTACATGAGACGGCGTGTTAGTGTCCGCCGCCTGCCTCCCCGCCGCCGCTAACGTGCATCAACACCGCCTCTGTCTGCAAATGCCGTCCTCCCGGCACGCCCGGAGAAGGGCGACTGCTCTTATGTCAGCGGCAAAAAGTCCCTCGTGGCACAGCAGCTGAGGACAAACATGCGAGTCGACATAATCGTGTCAGTCCCAGCATCTAGGAATGCTACGTTTCGACGCATACGCAGTCGCAACGGGGCTGGAGAGCCTGTTCTGACCCTGGCATCCCCCTCGTGGCACCAGAGGCACGACAGCCGCCGTAAATGTCCATGTTCTCTGGGCAGAGAGAAATGCGAATCTCCTCAGACAGCAGTTCCACAGGGCCAGTTCCCAGGCGCACGGCGTCTTCTCCCTGCTCTGATCCCTTCCATGACAGCGCCCAGCCCAAGATGGCTGCATCAGCACATCGCCGTCCGTCCACAGCTCCACCGCCGTTTTCCCCATGCCCAAGTATCGGCCAGCGAGCCAGCGAACCAGCGCTCGAGCAGCCGGGGTTGCGGAGGCCGCTTTCACCAAACCAGGCGGAACGGCACCGCGCCCCCAAATCCGATGGAATGATTCTGTGCGTCCCCCCTCCGCTCTCAGCCCACTTTCCACCTCCACATGCGCCATCCCGTTCCCGGATTAGCGCTGTCGGTCGGCCCGATAAGGCGCTACTGCAGTCTGCCTCTTTTTCTTCAGCACCCGCGGCCAGTGACATGCAAGGCTGAGGAACAGACACAGACAGCTGCCTCATCTACACCGTGGCGCCCCAAACACTCGTGCGCTGCGCATCCTAGACCGCCGTCAACACATGGCTGCACAACCGTTTGATTGTTCGCAAACACGGCCCAGAAAGGTCTGGATGCCTTCCGTGGCTTGTTTCTTGTCCAACGCCGCGGAAGATGCCGCCGTGGTCGTCGACAGAGTTCGCCAGTGACAGGGCGCCCCGACCACCTGGTTAGACTTTGTCCATCTCATCTCTGATGCGCAGTTTCATGAGACGGCAGGCTGTTGTCGGCTATTGCCCAGCTGGATCGGCGTTAACATTCCCAACCTCCGACCGGCAACTCAGGGCTGAAACATGGAGGTCAATTGCCGGCCATCATATCAGACACTTCACAGGGAGAGCACCGGGCATGTTGCGAACTGATCAAGAAGAGTTGTTGTTACAGCTCAACTGCCGACGATGTGCTCCGGACAGGAGGAAGTTCATGAATAATCCCCACATTCCCTAACGCCGCCAAGATATCCCAAAGAATCCGATTAACCGTACCCAAGACCAATTTCCCTGATAGACACTCTTACAGATCCTCGTACGAACTGGGC